CATTGTGTTAAAGAAAATTATCATACAGACAGTAACTTTCTATATATATTTACAAAACAATATATAGTGATATAATCAGATTTATGTTTTTAATAGATATTATACAGGCTGAAGTAAATTATAAGTTGTCATAAGCTTGAATTTCTATTTACTAAAATAGTAAATACCAAGAAATAAAAATTTTCATTAAAAAATTTACAGATCTGCTTTTAAATTGTTGTAATTTATTACTACCAATTGATGAAATTTTATTTTTATTTATGTGAAATGTCAGTAACATTATTATATGAAGATGTTATTATGATTCAGTGTTATAAGTTCATTATTTCCCAGTATTGATAGTTCTCTATGTTAATGTTTCAGTATAAATGGACAGCTGATCATTCATTAAAATTTATAGTCAAAATATTTGTTTAGGACTTTGTTTACAAACAAATTTTAATTATTATCACTGTTTCATTACTGGGGTCATAACCATATATTAAAATCCTTTTTCTTATGATCTTCTTCCATTTCTTATAATAATTATATTGGTCAAGTGATATGAAAATGTGCTGGAATATGGAGACAAATACTTTATTCAGGGTGGTGAAATATATTTGTTTTTTGGGTTGTTTTTTTTTCATTGACTATATATTTGGCCAATAAAAAAATGATGTTCAATAGATCCTTAGACTTTATTGATCTACAGCCTACTTAATAGGCATTCTCTAACAGAAAGTCCCTCCCACTGTTTTGAAGTATATCACCCTATATTGGCACCCCCACTGGTTTGTAATATATCACACATCCCAATATACAATACACAGCTCCCAATATACAGCTTGTTAATTTCCAATAATGTGCCAGCCCCATCTGTATGTATATAGTTAGGATCCATATCCCACTGTTTTATGAGGGGCTGGGAATTAGATGATTTGTTTTTTATTGAAGTAAAAAGAATGATCTTAAAGAATCTATGTTTTAACCATTGATTAATTTTAACCACAATGTCACTTCAACATTCTATATATCCTACTTTAATAGTTTTCTGTGAATATATAGCCTGATAAGATTATTCTGTTATGATTATTCTATTTAATTTTAGTGTGAAATATTTCTATGTACAGTTGCAAAGCTAACTACTTCCATATCATACAACATAAGAACAAGATAAGTTTAGTGTTATTGTAAAAAGAATCATTTGCTCATTTCTGTTACATCTGTCCACTTCAGTTCCTTAAAAAAAATATTTATATATATATATTTTTATCACATAAACCCCGGCGCGGGAGTGTTATAAAGCCATTTAATAAAAACGATATTACACTAGTGTAATAACACTTTGACATGACGTCATTTGCGCTATATATAAACATAGCGTTACACTATGGGCGCGTCATTGTAGAATTACTCATTTTAACAGTTCACTGTTCTTATTTTGTATATGTGATAAATAGAATATTATATTTGTGTAGATTCAATTCTAAATTAATATTGAACTCGTTGAATAAAACAGTATTATGCTCGCCAGAGCTCGCATAATATGATTTTATTCAACTCTTTCAATAAATTTAGTATTAAACTACACTCATTCAATATCCTCTATATATGTATCCTACCACTTAACATAAGAGCATTTACTTAAAGACCTAGTCAATTTTCACATCCTATGCAGTCCTGTTACTCATCCAAAACATAATAATCAACACCAAAATACATAAAAATAGAAAGATCACTAAACAAAATTAAATAGAATTACTATACTCTAATAATTATTTATTTAAGGTCTTTTGTGCCTCCCTAGCAGTCCTTTGTGCCCCTTAGCGGTCCTCCAATTCATCGAAAACATAAATTCTATCACCAAATATATTATAATAATGCCCTAGGAAGTAACTTAAGGTCCTTTGTGCCTCCCTAGCAGTTCTTTGCGCACATGAGCAGTCCTTAGCGGTCTGGCAACTCATCGAAAACATCAATTCTATCACCACAATTATATTTTTTCTTAAAATTATACATTTTTTCTCACTAAATATACTACCATATATTATAAGAATGCCCTAGGAAGTAATTTAAGGTCCTTTGTGCCTCCCTAGCAGTTCTTTGCGCACCTGAGCTCTCCTTAGCGGTCCAGCAACTCATCGAAAACATAAAATCTATCACCACAATTATATTTTTTCTTAAAATTATACCTTTTTTCTCACTAAACATACTACCATAATATTATAAGAATGCCCTAGGAAGTAATTTAAGGTCCTTTGTGCCTCCCTAGCAGTTATTTGCGCACATGAGCAGTCCTTAGCGGTTTGGCAACTCATCGAAAACATAAAATCTATCACCACAATTATATTTTTTCTTCTAATTATACATTTTTTCTCACTAAACATACTACCATATATTATAAGAATGCCCTAGGAAGTAATTTAAGGTCCTTTGTGCCTCCCCAGCAGTTCTTTGCGCACATGAGCAGTCCTTAGCGGTCTGGCAACTCATCGAAAACATAAAATCTATCACCAAAATTATATTTTTTCTTAAAATTATACATTTTTTCTCACTAAACATACTACCATATATTATAAGAATGCCCTAGGAAGTAATTTAAGGTCCTTTGTGCCTCCCTAGCAGTTCTTTGCGCACCTGAGCTCTCCTTAGCGGTCCAGCAACTCATCGAAAACATAAATTCTATCACCACAATTATATTTTTTCTTAAAATTATACATTTTTTCTCACTAAACATACTACCATATATTATAAGAATGCCCTAGGAAGTAATTTAAGGTCCTTTGTGCCTCCCTAGCAGTTCTTTGCGCACATGAGCAGTCCTTAGCGGTCTGGCAACTCATCGAAAACATAAAATCTATCACCACAATTATATTTTTTCTTAAAATTATACATTTTTTCTCACTAAACATACTACCATATATTATAAGAATGCCCTAGGAAGTAATTTAAGGTCCTTTGTGCCTCCCTAGCAGTTCTTTGCGCACCTGAGCAGTCCTTAGCGGTCCAGCAACTCATCGAAAACATAAATTCTATCACCACAATTATATTTTTTCTTAACATTATACATTTTTTCTCACTAAACATACTACCATATATTATAAGAATGCCCTAGGAGATATTTAAATGTCCTTTGTGTCTCCCTAGCAGTCCTTTGTGCCCCTAGGAGGTATTTTAAGATTCTTTGTACCTCCCTAGCAGTCCTTAGCGGTCCTGCAATTCATCGAAAACATAAATTCTATCACCAAAATTATATTTTTCCTTAAAATAATACATTTTTTTATCTATTAACTTACTACAATATAATATAAAAATGCCCTAGGAAGTAATTTTAGGTCCTTTGTGCCTCCCTAGCAGTCCTTTGCGCACCTGAGCTCTCGATCCTTAGCAGTCCAGCAACTTATCAAAAACATAAATTCTATCACGAAAATTAAATTTTTTCTTAAAATAATACATTTTTTGTCACTAAGCATACTACCATATATTAAAAGAATGTTCTAGAAGTGATTTTAAGGTCCTTTGGGCCTCGCTTATAGTCTTTTGTGTACCTGAGCAGTCCTTAGCGGTCTGGCAACTCATCGAAAACATAAATTCTATCACCAAAATTATATTTTTTCTTAAAATTATACATTTTTTCTCACTAAACATACTACCATATATTATAAGAATGCCCTAGGAGATATTTAAATGTCCTTTGTGCCTCCCTAGCAGTCCTTTGTGCCCCTAGGAGGTATTTTAAGATTCTTTGTACCTCCCTAGCAGTCCTTAGCGGTCCTCCAATTCATCGAAAACATAAATTCTATCACCAAAATTATATTTTTTTCTTACAATAATACATTTTTGTCTATTAACTTACTACCATATATTATAAGAATGTTCTAGGAGGGATTTGAAGGTCCTTTGTGCCTCCCTAGCAGTTGTTAGTGCACCTGAGCAGTCCTTAGCGGTCCGACAACTCTTCAAAAACATGAATTTTATCACTATAATGATATTTTTCTTTAAAATTATACATTTTTTCTCACTAAACATACTACCATGTATTATAAGAATGCCCTTACAGGTATTTTAAGGTCCTTTGTGCCTCTTTAGGAAATATTTTAAGGTCCCTAGCAGTCCTTTTCGCACCTGAGCAGTCCTTAGCGGTCCGGCAACTCATCGAAAGCATAAATTCTATCACCAAAATCATATTTTTTTCTTACAATAATACATTTTTGTCTATTAACTTACTACTATATATTATAAGAATGTTCTAGGAGGGATTTGAAGGTCCTTTGTGCCTCCCTAGCAGTTGTTAGTGCACCTGAGCAGTTCTTAGCGGTCCGACAACTCTTCAAAAACATAAATTTTATCACTAAAATGATATTTTTTCTTAAAATAATACATTTTTTGTCACTAAACATACTACCTTGTATTATAAGAATGCCCTAGGAGGTATTTTAAGGTCCTTTGTGTCTCCCTAGCAGTCTTTTGTGTATCTGAGCAGTCCTTAGCGGTCCGACAACTCATAAAATTTTCACCAAAATCATATTTTTTCTTAAAATTATAATTTTTTTTCACTAAAAATAATACCATGTAATATAAGAATGGCCTAGGAGGTATTTTAAGGTCCTTTGTGCCTCTTTAGTAGTCCTTTGTGGCTCCTTAGCAGTCCTTAGCAGTCCTTAGCGGTCCTTAGCAGTCCTTAGCAGTGTTTAGTAGGACCGAGAATTAATATGAAATTGAATCTACTGAAAAAAAAGGAATTCTATTTATCTCTGAGTACTGCCAACCCCTCTCGCGAGTGTTATAGTCAGGATTTATTGTGATATTGTGTTATAATGGTGTATGCAAGCATGTTATATAAGAAATTCGATATTTCGTCGATATTTCGTCGATATTCAGCTAAATTTATGATTAATCTAAGTACCCCACCCACTTCATAAAACACTAAACAAATCATATCTAGATCAAAATACAATAATTTTTCTCATGAACAATAACCTATTTAAATTTTAAAAACAACACAGGTAATACCTTCCTACCTTGTTTTGTAAGAACCAGAAGAGGGCTAATTTTTCTAAAAAGTTGCCAAAGCTTCGTCCTGGCGAGAATCGTTATTTCGGACATGTAAAAGCAATAACGGAGAACTTTAAGGTATTCCGAATTAAACCGCTGAATACAAATAACGATGTTATATTGGTCTATGGTTCACTAACATCTAACTGGGGAATTAGCTCAAGTGGTAGAGCGCTCGCTTAGCATGTGAGAGGTACCGGGATCGATACCCGGATTCTCCAAATTCTTTTTCTCCCTCCGGGCTTATTTATTTTGTAATAATGGTAAAGATATGTAATAGAAAGAGCACCGAAACACGAGGTTATCTGATTTGTACAAGGGGGCGTAGCCCCCGAGTATTAATCAGATTACCGAGTGTTTTGGTGTTCTTTCTCTTTTGTATCATAGTCAAACATAAAAACACGTTCCCTGTTGTCACAATATGAAACCCCGGCAAAAATGAACCAATGAACGAACATCTGAATATGATATTTCTGTCGCTTATCCTTTCTCTGCCGTCATAATATGTAAACCCCAGCAAAAATGAGCCAATCAATGGGCATGCTCTGGAGTGCGGGTAACTAATACCCGCACTCCAGTTAACGCACTGTGCATGTATATGTATACGATTTAACCCTGACACATTTTCAACAGAAAGGTCTCCAAACTATGATACAAGCAATAATATTGCGTTGAAGCAGCTGTTTTATATGTATGTAGACCAAACGGCTGCAAATAGATCTAGAATTAAACCATTGTGATTTCTAGTATTCTTCACTTCTCATAATTTATGGCAAAATTTAGGCGACGATGGTACTAAAGATGATAATAATGATGATGAAAATAACATTGATGATGAAGATGGTTATAATCATCATAACGACGACAGCGATGATGAAATTAATTATAATTATATGACAAATTATTATTATTATTATTATTATTATTATTATTATTATTATTATTATTATTATTATCATCATCATCATCATCATCATCATCATCATCATCATTATCATCATCATTGTCATCATCATCATCATCATCATCATCATCATCATTATTATTATTATTGTTATAGTATTATTATTATTATCATTATTATTATTATTATTATTATTATTATTATTATTATTATTATTATTATTATTATTATTATTATTATTATTATTATTATTATTATTATTATTATTATTATTATTATTATTATTATTATTATTATTATTAGTATTATTATTATTATTATTATTATTATTATTATTATTTATTTATTTATTTATTTATCTATTTTTATGATCATCATCATCATCATTTTAACGACGACAACGATGATTAAAATAATAATGGTAACGACGACAATGATGACGAAGACAATGATGACGATGACGAAGATATGTTGATGATGATATTGATAGCAAGTTGTATAAAAAAAATATTGGATGATTATACAGTTGAGTTTAAGCATCTTTGCTTGTCTGATATAGGGTGATATGTAAGTATAATAAGTATAACATATGATGTTGACAGATCATTGATGTGTGCTGAACTCATCTAAACATTAATTGATAAACAAGCCGTGATTAAAGCCCGTATCTAACCACCGAGATGTACCAAATTGTCCTCACTAATTTCTAATTACTGCAAATGAAAAACTTCTATTCACAGACGTTAATTGAAATCGATATGATATTCATGTCATAAATCAAAGTGGGAGGCGTGGAGTTGAAGAGCGTTCTTTTCTCAAACCAAATTTCACCCGGGGATGATTTATAGGAATTCAGGGAGTTACGTTTAACTGATTAGCTTTTTTTCAACTTACTTAAAATTGTGTTTAATTAATTGATTTTTTTCGTTTTGCTACGGGAGGAAAATACAAATCTGACGCAGGTTATATCTAGACGACTCGATTTTCTTTTTATTGAAGCAGAGACATAGATAACAATTCTTATCTACATATCTGATTGAAGCAAAGGAATTTAAAGGAATACTTCAGAGGTTTGTAACGTTTCAATTCATTTAAGTTATATAAAGTTCTATATAATGCATGTGATACTTATATAGAAATAACTTTGTAAACATTTAAAGTTCTTGCAGTCTATCAGGTTTCGCTTATTGTCACCAGGGTCTATCAAACAGATTCTATTTGAAAAACCCTGTTGTCACAAATAAATAAGGTGCACTTATTACACCGCACAATGGGAAATGAAAAAAAAACCAACAAACAAAAAAAAAAAACCCAAAACAACAACGACAACAAACTGGTAAAATGATAAAGATCCACTATAATTTTTTATTGATACGTGCACATGTTTTAAATATTGCATGTAAAAGGTATTTTTAGAAAATTTCATTTTTTTTTCATCAAAAATAGCGTAATATTTCTTATATCGTTTCGCAATTGATTTCAATATTTAAAGCGCACATAGCTGTTGTATTTATCAGCAATTATAATCAGCAGCTCCTTTATTTATTTATTTATTTATTTATTATTATTATTATTATTATTATTATTATTATTATTATTATTATCATTATTATTATTATTATTATTATTATTATTATTATTTATCTATTCTTTTTTAAATACACAAAGCTATATTTATGTGTAATATTTGTCTCTGATAAATATTATTTGATTTCCACGTTGGACATTCCGCGTGCATGGCGTTGAAATGATATTTATCATAATAATCAAATTACACGTGATTCTCGTGCTTAAAGTTTCATGTCACAGTCACCTTTAAACATTTTCTTTATTGACAGTGAAATGTTTTTATTTCCTTTAAATTTACCCAAGTCAAGACCATATATAATACTCAGAGTTGACACATATTAGATATATCAGAAAATATAACAAAATGCTGTGCAGTAAAACAGTCGCGTGTACCATTTAACTCCTGACTTAGAAAAGATGGAATTGTAGACTATCATTAGCAAAGTCCATTTGCGAGTACTTTTTTACTTTTGTTAAAGTGATATTCCATCTTGTCTACGAACAAACAAATTAATCAGAATGGAAACATGACACAACTACATTTAACTAATTGAAAATATGATAAAACCGGAAATTTAACATCTAAGATCGTCTGAATAATTTTAATGGCTAAATACTGTTTCGGTGGAAGTAAGTGGATGAGGGGTTGATTACTGCTTCAGTTGGTGCTAGGGGGTTTGAGTACTAATTTGGTTGGAGCTATGGGGATCGAATTCTGCTTCGGTCGGTGCTAGGGGGTTTAAGTACTAATATGGTTGGAGCTATGGGGATCGAATTCTGCTTCGGTCGGTGCTAGGGGGTTTAAGTACTAATATGGTTGGAGCTATGGGGATCGAATTCTGCTTCGGTCGGTGCTAGGGTGCTTGAGTAATGCATCGGTCAGTGCTTGAGTGCTTGAGTATCTGCTGCAGTATTTATTTATTCTGTCAATTCATAGTTTACAGTTTAATAATATTTTATTGCTATATACATGTATATACTATACAGATACAAATTTCATATGTATTCTAAACAGCAAAAGCAAACGGGTTGGACCCAAGTTCTTAATACATTAGCGGTCGGCCCTCCCCGGTAGATAATGGAACGAAAAAAAACTATATTCAATACTTAATGACATATAAAATAAAAAGTGTATATCATTTATAATTGCTGATGGAATGAATCGTAAGAAACGATTTTTAACAATATACAATATAAAGTAATAGAACAGATAGAATCAAAGTTCCGTACGTGTGATCTTGCAATTGCTATCGTGAAATCTCACTCTTTATTATATATATCGCAAAGGATTGTATATGCTGGGTACATAAAAATCTAAAATGTCAAAACAAAAGATACATATATTAAGCAATGTATATAAAATCTACAGTTTTTTCTCATGTCTTTTTCAGTTTCAGATTAAAAAAAATCTTATTCAGTTTCTTGTATCAACAATGAATACATGGTTCAAATAAAATTGTCACACGATCTGCTTTAGTGTTGTTGTTTTTTAAATGTCTTTTTAGTGTGAGAATGTCATTGCAAATAAATGTCCACATTATTCTGTAAAAAGATTTTTTTCGCATCATGTTACATACTCTACCAAAGTAAAATAAACGTGAAGTAAGTAAACAGATCATGTGTCACAATCGTTGTAATATATCATTTAATAGTGTATTATCTTTCCTTAAAGCACACCATTGGGAGAAATAAAATAGATCTTTTAAAATAAAATGTCATCTTCACAGACTCTGAGAAAGGTAAAAGAGAATGTTAACATATGAGCCGCGTCATGACAAAACCAACATAGTGCGTTTGCGACCAGCATGGATTCAGACCAGCCTGCGCATCCGCGCACTCTGATCAGGATTATCAGTTTCTCTACTTGTAATAGGGTTGGTAAGCGAACAGCATGGATCCTGATCAGACTGCGCGGATGCGCAGGCTGGTCTTGATCCATGCTGGTCGCAAACGCACTATGTTGGTTTTGTCGAGACGCGGCTCATATGCATTAAATTTTAGATGGCAGTGATACTTTTGTACTATAGTATTTTATACGTCTTTTACAGTTCAGAATGAAATCTATGAATCAAGTGTTGGCGCTTTTCCTTCTACATGGATTAATTCAGTACGTACGGGCGGACGATCAAGTAAGTGCATAAAACGTAAATTGCCTTTTCATTTTTCAATAGTTAAATGCACAGGTAAATGGAATGTATGGTAGTTGTACTCTTGAAATTAATTAATTAATTAATTAATTAATTATTTCATTCATTAATTCATTCATTCATCCATTCAACCAAACACATTCATTCAACCAAACACATTCATTCATTCATTCATTCATTCATTCAACCAAACGCATTCATTCATTCAATTATTCATTCATTCATCAAATCCCATTCATTCATTCATTCATTCATTCATTCATTCATTCATTCATTCATTCATTCATTCATTCATTCATTCATTCATTCATTTATTTATTTACTTATTTATTTATTTATTCATTCCTTGGAATGCTAGAAATAGACCGAGTTGTGTTTGCGTTTAGAACTAGCATTTGTCTAATGAAATGTTTTGTGATAGTTTCTATAACCAGTCGAGAGTTTGGATTTTGTTAGGATTTTAAATCATTCATGGCTACAAAATAATTTAATGCATAATTTGTCTGTAATTATTGATTCCAAAATGATTTCAGAATCAAACGAGGGTTAATTTTATTATAAGTACACCAATTGAAATTTATTAACTTGTATTTCTGGGCCTACAGCGTAGGAACGAGTGAAATTATCAAGTAAAAAATCTATGAAAATGGTAGAGAAGAAAAGAAAAGAAAAAAGTACTTATAATTGAAGCATGGACTTGTGTACAAACAATTCTTGCATCACAGAGAGAAATTGCATTATTGTTTTTACAATTTGTTTGCTGAAAACAAAAATGAAAGTACGGTTATTAACTCACTTTATAGAGGAATCGCCTGCCTGTGAGGATTTGCTGATAGTTACTATTTGATGAAAGTGTAGGGATTTTACTGGTACATCCATGTAATCCAGAAACACAAGTTTGGTGTTCATGGTGGAAATAGTGCTAAATATGTTTTCCTAATTTCAGTTTCTGTGCTGTATGAAAGGGATAAAAGCCATCCGAAATATTGCCGTCTGTCCGGCACCGTGTTGTTACGGATATGAGGAAAGAACGTTTTACGCATCAGTTTTATCAAGAATATCTTTTTGCGAAAAGAAAAAAGAGGTAACAGTTATTAAATCTTTGGAGAAATCTAAGGTCCACCCGTTGACCACTGGAGTACAGTCAAACTTTTTTAAATATCCTATATAATACTTAGCGAAAAGTTCAACTCGTGCTTTGTCCAGAATGTTGAATGTTGAATTTTTTTCTTTCCGGTGAACTTTTAAACATTAAATGTTTCTTTCATGTATCAAAGTGTTATTTCAGAACATAAATTTACTAGTTTGTTAAGTTTGACATTAAGTAACGGAATCTTAAAATTTATTTTTATTTAAGATAGATACACATATGATAGTACTAACAAATATTTTCTCTTTTTATATATTTCTAATAACTTGCTTCTTGTTTTCTATAGTTTATCTTCTATAGTTTGTATCGTTTATTTCAGGAGAAAATAGCTGACGAGTTTATTAACATACACGATGAAAACACCTCCGAATGAAGGAGCCTCTAACAAACATGGAAACTTCATCAACATTCCTGAAAATTCAGCCAGACATATTCGTAGATTTCAAAGGAAGCATCCTAATTATTCATCAGAAGATAACAATATGTCACATTAATTTGCAAATTTTCCCAGTGATGCTATTTCCACATGAGAGATTATTCGCAATTTTTGAGATCTTCACTTCACAAAATGTATAGAAAAAATTAAAGAGAGTTTTCTGCAAGAATTTCTTTCAAAGCAGTTTTACTTAAAAAAAAGGTTAATGAAATATATTTAATATTTTTTATAATTTACAGATAATACACATTATTTCTTTCACTTACTTTTTAGTAGTTTGTAAGTCTCCTTTAAAAGAAAAATTAATGTAAATTATAAAAAATACGGTGTTCCGTTGGGACCATCGTTTCTTTCTATCGGTCGTAAAACGCCAAAGCGACAAGACGATTCGCCAAAGCTACAAAACGCTGTATGTCGAAGCGAAGAGGCGAACAAAGGACGCAATAGAGTGACAAGACGATGCAATGACAAATTTCTCATTTTCGTATCTTCTTGTCGTTCCGGTGCATTCTATAGTCGCCTCGGTGTACTGTTTAGTCGTCTCGGCGGCAGTTTGGTCGCGTCAGCATTTTGGATTTATAAGAAGTCGCCGATGCGAAGGAACGATGGCCCCTACGGAACACCGTAGAAAACTAAATGATTGTGGTTCATGTTTTCTTGTTGTTGTTTTTTCCAGGGTAATTGAAGACATAATTTTAAAATGATCACATGTGGCAATGTAATTATGTTATATTCACGATATTTTTGCTCCGTTTAATAAAAAATTGGTTGAATAAATAAGTTTTTTATTTCATACTGATGCCTAACTCGATTCTATAGAATGTCACCACGTATTAGATACGAGAACATATGCGTTATTAATCTTTCACAATGCAACAGTACTAGATGTATACTTTATGAGTATCACGCGTGATAAATAAATCACATTTAAACGATAACGTATCTATATTTTTTTTTAACTTAACCATTGTCACGATACAAATATATTGTGCGAAATTCTATATTTCTATAAAATATATAAATTGCGTTTCCTATATACATGTATATACACACTCACTTGGTAATTTATGTCTTAGCACGCTGAATATGGTAATGCCTATTTTCAAATTTGGACAAAAACCAGCCATTTATCATGTTTAGGGAATTTCAATTTTTTTTTTCTTCTTCTTAAAATTTAAGCTTTCAGTTTATGAATAAACACTGTCACAAGTGTGTTAATTTGGGTCTGACGTTCGCATAGGATGCAGGAAGAGTTTTTAAAAAAATTTTTGGGTATTTTTTAATATTTCTTAAAAGAAAAATTAGGTTTAATTAAATTGTTATTTTGAACAAAATCAAGGTTTTCAAATAAAAAGGACGAATTTTTTATAAAAATTTTTTTCAATTTTATAATATAATTTGAAACTTCTGATGTACTGGAAAAAAAAAAATTTTATTCTACCCAAAAAAAATGTACAGTTACAGGAAATTAAATTTGCAACCTTTTTCGCATATTACATAACCCGAACCCGGGTCAAACAGAAAAGAAATATCGTAATATTAATCGCACAGTCAGTGAAAAAGGATTTCAAAATATCTAAGAAGTTTAAGAAATACGTGTAGGAAGATAGAACAAATTAAACGTCATTCCAGTATTGTAATATCTTTGTGAACCTTCGGGGTAATTGATTCTAATACGTTTAGTGTTGAAAAATTGAATAATGCTGAGGACAAATATATTACAGATATCATTGTCTCTCATGTAAGCTAAATAATCTTACGAGGTTTGGAAATATGTGAACATTCACATAGCATGTTAATGGTTAAGGTGTTAGGCCAGTGACTGGCTTTATTTGTTTTATAACCATATTTCTACTACGATACTAGCAATTTATGCCCGATAATATATATATCTACCCCGGCACTAACATATATCTATCCCGTTACTACATATATCTACCCCGATACTAACACATTTTTACCCAATACTACATATATCTAATCCGATACTAAATATAATTCCCCCGATATTACATGTATCTAACCCGATACTAAATATTATTCACCCGATTTATTTCACATATATCTACCCCGAAACTACATATATCTAGCCCGATACTAAATATAATTCCCCATATCTACGCCGATAATAACACTATTTACCATGATAATACATGTATCTAACCCGATAGTAAATATATCTAGCTCTGATACTACATATTTCTAACCCGATAATAACATATATCTACCCTAAAACTACATATATCTAACCCGATACTAAATATAATTCCCCGATATTACATGTATCTAACCCGATAGTAAATATATCTACCCTGATACTACATATAATCTAACCCGATACTGTATATATCTACCCCCCTCCCCCCCCCCCGATATACGTAACTCTACCCCCCCCCCGACTTTACATATCTCCACCCAGATACTACTTACCTCCACACAGATACTCCGATACTAACGAATTTAAGGATTGTTTTAAATACTTCGCCAAGTTTGACACATTTACAGAACTCCTACGGGACTGTTAAAGGAACTCCACCGAGGTACAAAGCGTAAAAACATAAAATTTGAATTTCTTAGGTAAATCAGCGGGGGCACTTAAAACAAAAAATATAGAAAAAACAATTAAGGAATAAACTCAGAAATAAATTAAAATCACATTTTTGTGCAATTTGTAACTAGTTTGAGTGACAACGCTTTAACAAATTTGAGTAAATTTTCACAATACAAATATTATTCTGGACAAACGGAGTTAGCGAATGACATTAAATTTTGCACTCATGTTAGTGGTTTACATCTACATCAAACTGAACATTAATCTCAAAAAATATTTTCAATCATGTCATGTCAAAAAAAACCCTGAGTGGAGTCCCTTTAGTGTCTTACATTAGCTGATATTTCTTCATTGTTTCACTTGATGATAGTTTTATAACTGTTTTCAACACTGTATAAATATCATAAAAATGGCGAATACCCCGGTATATCGGTGTGCTTTTAAACGGAGACACCAGTTCATTCATTTATGAAAATATTGCAGAAGTTTCCAGTTCAATTACATACAGGCAATTATAGTAGTGTATTCAATTACCGTGGAACATACGTTCTATGAATATTAATCATAATTTTGTTTCGTTTCAATAAAGAAAAACATGATTGGCCGATAATTTATCATTTTCTACATTCAGTTTAATTTATATAACTGCCAAATGAACGTGTCGATACTTTTCCATTTGAAAATTCAGTGTAATTTAACATTCTTATAATTGAATCAATTACTCGATTTGGTTACAGCAAAATAGCAACGAGATACAAAATTAGGATCACAATGTGAATTAAAAATCCATATGCTCAACATCAGATACATGTACCATTTTCCCGTTACCATTGCAACGGTATGTTTGACTCGAGAAAAAACATTATAGTCATGCCGCCTGTACATATTGCCATGTCTTTATATATACATAATACCTTTTACCTTTTAGAATTCAAAGCGCTAAAATTAAACGATATTTGTAATTGATATAATCTCCTACGCTACATTCTTTTTATTCCACAGTCCTGGATAATGGACTATCGGAATAACCCACCCTCAGAGTAAATTTAAACTTTTATGAAGTCCAATTTTTTAATAAAACTTCCTTGTCTATACAAAAAAATTACCTCCTGAATATAACGCGTAGATTTAATGATAACTGGCGTGTTAATTTTCAAATAATTAAGAAGCGATAATAGTAAGCTAGTTTATCAATTTGATTGGTAAATAATTTTTTACAATGTCATGTGATCATTATTTGGAATATGAAAACAATGCGTTGTTCTCGTTCTGGCTGGCTTGATCCCGCCAGAAGTCTTCATAATGGCTAAAATGGCCAGCCATAGACCAAATACTAGCTAAACCCAGGCCACACAAATACTAGCTAAACCCAGACCACACAAATACTAGCTAAACCCAGGCCACACGATGCATGGAGGCTACTCGGCGACTACACAAAGGAAACATGATGGCAACACCACGGCTACATTTCGTCGTATTGAGTGTCAAACGTATTCATCCTACTAGGAAATGGAGTCACTTTAATGTGTTACTGACTCATAAAAATACAGTCATGGTTTGTCATCGATTCACATACATTACTTACATTGTTTCAAGCTATCAAATCAAAGAACTGAAGTACAGATGCGCTGGCTGACTGTCAGTATATGGTTATCTGGCTAAATGGTATAATAACGATGTAATTTCTATTTTAAACTGTGTGATGTATTAAGTGAATGCTTTGAAATCTTCTTGATTTCATTAGAATGATCAAAGGTTATGATAATAGGTACGACATTTCTGCAATGCATAAAATGATAAGGACATTGAAATATGTTCATTCGATTCACCTGAATTGTAATGCTGTTTTCAGCCTTTATGACTGATAAGTAAGGCTTATAACCTAAATATTTTATGTGTCACGTTGCCTGGTGGACATTTAACAATCCAATGGTCTATGCGTATAAACATGACCAAGATGTCCTAGTAGTTCTTTCTCTCCTAGTAAAAAAAATACTAATTGAAGAGATTTTACTTCTCCTAGAATTTATTAAGACATAGATCATAGCAGAACTAAGTTAAACACAAATATTTCCTAATATCAAAAGTAATTATGTATTCACATGACAAGATGGAATAAACACATAAAAACTGAACGTATTTGCAGGAATAAAACATGCTCTTATTTCGGCGGGAGACATTATTGAACAGTTTGCAAATGAATACCATCATCCTGTTCTGAATTAGCAATTACACGGAACTGACTTATAAAAACAGATTAAGTATATAAATACAGAAAGTTAACAAGTTTAGAAATAACGAAAAACACTTAGACTAGGTACACCACGGTCGAGTTCCTTATTAATCGCATCGGTCCCAACCTATATGCGTAATTAAGTGGCTCCAAATAGGTTGCTGTCGGCTTGTATGTCTGTTCTCTCAATTATCTGTATTGAGACGGTAACTATATCACATTTACACTGTACATCAATTAATTCATTAATTCTTCAATTTATTCATAAACTTATGTGACTGAAGAACAATGTGGAGAACAATATAACAGACAGATATAACTTTACATACCTTAAGATGTTTACAATATTATTCGTATTCTCTTTAGAAATTATGTAGGGATTACTTTATCTAGACTTAAACTTTGACCTGCTAAAACCTAAAGTGATAAGCCATTGCCAACATTCGAGGTATTGCTTGATTTTTGTACTCGATATTATTTAAGTAATAGAAAGAGCATCGAAACACGAGTCTATCTGATTTGTACGAGGGGCGGGGAGGGGGGGGGCGTAGCCTCCTAGTACAAATCAGAGTGTTTTGATGTTCTTTCTCTTTTGTATCATAGTCAAACATAAAAACACGTTCCCTGTTGTCACAATATAAACCCCAGAAAAAAGTTAACAAAGAACGAGCATCTAAATATGATATTTCTATCGCTTTCCCTTTCTCTGTAAACCCCAGCAAGAATGACCCAATCCATTGACATGCTCTGGAGTGCGGGTAACTCCAGTTAACGCACTGTGCATGTATATGTATACGATTTAACTCTATCACATTTTCAACAGAAAGGTCCTCAAACTATGACACAAAATCTTTTAAACTACAACTCAAAGCAGGGTTAATCCGTCTTTACATTGTATCATAGTACTGAAAACGTGTCGTAGTTAAATCTGCACAGTGCGTTAACTGGAGTGCAGGAATTAGTTACCTGCACTC